AATGTGTGCTTACAAACTCTGTCGAGTTGAATTTAAATATTGGGGTATGCAAACAAAACTAGAAAAGTTCATTGATGATGTTGCCTTACGTAAAACGATGGTAAGGGCTCATCGTCAAGCATGGGTTTGGCAAGACGAGTGGCATGGACTCACTATGGATGATATTCGTGAAATCGAAAGGCAAACCCAATTAGCGCTACAAAAGAAAATGGCGGGAGAAACAAGTGAGGAACAGGATGTATCTGAAGAAAATTCAAAGTCACTTGCAGCTACAATGAGTAGTTTAGAGAAAAATGAAGACTTGGATACTCCATTGACTACCAAGAAAACGAATGTGGAAAAGAGAGTTCCTAAACATTTGTCGCCAGAGAGTACTCCACCACTGGAACAGAAGAGTTCTGTGAAAAGCAATTTAAGGTCATCGTCTTCTGGATCCATAAAGAGCTTACAAGCACAAGTTGCTAATTGGCGTATGGAAACACTTGTGAGGGAATCAGAAACTGAAACTGGATCTGAAGATGAATTTTATGACTGTGAATCATCATTTAACAAATGGTCCTCAATGTGTTCTCTTGATGAAATGGAAATCGATATATCACCAACTCAGGGTGATCAAAGTCAAGATGACAGTATTTTCAATCCAACATTCTTAAAAAGAGTAACGTCAGAGAGAGGTTCACGTCGCATTATTACATTACAAAGTCATCAAAGCATGGACGGTTGCCCGGAAACACCTATCCTCAGTTCATGCCCGACTACTGTATTGGTACTAGTTTTTCACGCCGGTAGTGTTCTCGATGCAACTATTGACATGGCTGCGAAAAAATCAGATGTGACAACATTTAAAGGTGCATTTGAATCTGTAATGCGCCAACATTATCCAACTTTAGTTGGCCATATTGCAATAAAACTAGTTTCATGTCCTTCCATTACTACGGAAGCATTAGGCATTTTGTCTACGTTAAGTCCTTATAGCTTTGATTGTTCTCCATCGACTTTGGAAACGCCTTCTATGACTAATGATCTAATCCCTATCGGTGCTATTCCATTGCTCGCGACAAGCTCTCCTGATTATGTTGATTCGGTTACGAAGACAATAGCTTCAGCTAATACGGTTTATAATGAGTTTGCCAAGTCTGAGGACGGCAAAGGATTTAATGGTCAAGTGAGTATAGTTGCTGACAGTATGGGTTCACTATTAGCTTACGATGCCCTATGTCGCACTGTGCAGTATCAATCGCGTCATGATAGCGAAAACAGTGTTTTAAATACTGAAATTACCATTCCAAATGAACCTAGTGAAAATTACTTGAACAAATCGCTTTTACAAGCTCCTACTCCACGGCGGCGATCATCTTCCACGAGTGACAATCAAACGAAGTTAGAATTTGAAGTGAACGACTTTTTTACTTTTGGTAGTCCACTTCCATTAATTTTAGCTTCAAGAAAAATTGCGGATGATAAAACTCGAGATATTATGAAGCCACCCGTACAACAAGTGTACAATCTGTTTCATCCGACAGATCCGGTTGCGGCCAGATTAGAGCCCCTATTGTCCGCACGATTTACAAATCTGCCGCCTATCAATGTTGCTCGATATGCGAAGTATCCTCTCGGAAACGGACAGCCTTATCACCTAATGGAATTGATACAAAGCGATCCTCAGCTATTTGGAGACCATTTACAAATGCCACCAACTCCAATATTGCGACGACTTTCTGAGGCCTCCGTTCAAAGTACTGTCAGTGGATTGGTTGATAATATACCATTAATAACCATGAATGCTTTGCAGCAGAAGTGGTGGGGATCTAAACGACTTGATTATGCCCTGTACTGCCCTGAAGGCTTATCGAACTTTCCCACAAATGCGTTACCACATTTATTCCATGCTAGCTATTGGGAAAGCTCTGACGTCATTGCCTTTATTTTGAGACAGGTTGGTCATTTCGATTTAGCGTTTTACGGCCATGTTGAAGACAAAGATAGTACAATGTTCAAACCGGGACAAGAAAGAGAAAAATGGATAAGAAAACGTACGTCTGTTAAACTGAAAAATGTCGCTGCCAATCATAGAGCTAATGACGTTATAGTGAAAGAAGGATCTCCTCAAACCTTCACAGCGAGGTTTATGTATGGACCATTGGATATGATCACTTTGACGGGAGAGAAAGTAGATATACACATGATGAAAGACCCTCCAGCTGGCGAATGGACATTATTATCAACTGTAGTGACTGATAAAGCTGGAAGGATAACATATACATTGACTGAAAAGCAAAGTGTTGGCTGTGGCGTATATCCAGTGAAGATCGTGGTTCGGGGCGACCACACTAGTTGCAACTTCCATTTGGCAGTAGTACCTCCGCAAACCGAGTGCGTGGTGTTCAGCATCGACGGCTCTTTTACTGCCAGCGTGTCAGTGACTGGGCGTGACCCCAAAGTGAGAGCCGGGGCCGTGGACGTTGTTCGTTTCTGGCAAGATCTCGGCTACCTTATAATTTATATAACTGGCCGACCGGACATGCAACAAAGAAAAGTGGTGTCGTGGTTAGCTGAACACAATTTCCCTCACGGATTGGTCTTTTTCTCTGAAGGAATTTCAACCGATCCTCTGGGGCATAAAGCGGCGCATTTAAACAGTCTCATTAACGACCACGGTATAATTCTGCAAGCGGCATATGGATCCGGAAAGGATATAAGCGTGTATCATAATTGTGGTTTGTCTCCGAAGCAGGTGTACGCCATCGGTCGTATCAGTAAAAAGTATACAAACATGGCGACAACTTTGAGCGACGGGTACGCGTCGCACTTGGCGGACCTCCGGCAGCCGGGCGCAGTGCGAGCGGCGCGTGGCAACGCACGTCTCCTCGTGCCTCGCCGCCTGCTCGCCCCGGTTAGTAATGCCACTACTCGTAATCGCCGTTAAAACTATTTTAAGCCTCTTTTTAAAGATTTTTGACAAAGTATTAGATACCCTATATTTTGATATAATTTAAATTATATACGTGTATTATTTCCGCGTCTCTACCTATTTTTAGCATATTTCTATAACGTGTCGTGCTTTTTACAGTATTCGTTTAATTCCTCCGCGTTACTAGAATGTTGCGTAATAAATAGGGTTACGGTGTAGTCTTTACAAACAAGTTTATGAATATTGAATGTTAAATATAAATACTTGAAGTCACTGTGTACCTAACTAATTTGTATTGAATCTTGTTATTTCTGCCTCAGCTAGTATTGATGTAATCGTTTGTATAGTAGTTATTTATTGTTGACGGGAGGGCTAGAATCTCTTGTTTGCGTTTTTATTTATACTCTAGTCTTTGTAAGTTAGATAATGATCTGATTTTATTATAAAAATATATTCCTAATGTAATTCCATAATTTATGAAAAGGAAGGGGCTCTCCTCTGTCTAAACGCTTTATATATCCTAAGGCCATATATTTTTTTCTGATATGTTACCAGGTCTAAGGTGTATATTTCTAAGGTTATTAAAAATATTCCTTGTATTTATGTTTAAATCACCCTGTGTGATATATTTTTAATGTTATATTGACTAATGAATTCGCATACGAGACAGACAATGTTACTCAGATTATTTTCTTATGTAATTTATGTTCATCATTAGTACACAATTGACTGGATGGCTGAACTTAAATTGGATATGTAGTTATTTTTTGTAAATACCGAATTAATGTTTTTTCCTCATCGTAGTATCACTTGAATCACTTATCAAGTTGTTTTAAACATGTTTGTGAAATATAAAAACTGCGGTGACACATCTTCAAATTATTATAAACTACGGTATGAAAGCAAGCGATGAAATTCACTATATTGATATATATATTACATCGACTCAGAATTTCATTAGCTAGAGGGCAAGGCTACATAATATTGAATTTAACTTATCTGACAATGAAAATGTACCTTACAGCAGCGGGCACATCCTTGACTAAACAAGGGCACAACTGTTGTGCGATTGTTTCGCAGCCAATTTAACTGTTTAGGCACAAAAATCGAGTAGTGAGCGAACTTCTATATAAGCTCAGAGGAAAAATAGTGCGACTCAATAGTTGTGCCATAGTTTAGTCAAAGGTGAGCGCGCTTTAAAGCTGATTTTATCGAATTCCACGCGAGTCTCATCTATTTGCTGTTTAATATCACAAGATATTTTAGATATCATTGTTAGATAGGATTTTTGTTTAATAAATTGAAGTTCCATTCTTACTTTAAATGTTATTGTATAATTCCGTGCAGGAAATTATTTCAGGGTTCAATGTCTTTATATCATTTAAATTACGCAAAATCTTTTTGAAGATACTCAATAGCTTATATAAAGTTTTACTATTCCTTGTTTTGTTGTTTTTACTTATTACCGAGTAAATTTCTTGACATTTCGGTTACCCGAACTGTATTCTTTTTTTAAATACGTAAAACTACGTAAATTGTTTCTGCCTCTAAACTATGCCTTTAAGGAATGAGGTCGTAAGATCTCGAAAAACTAAATTGTTACTTGTTTTCGTAAGTTTACTCTAAGTAAACTGCCTTTCATACTCTCGTTTTATAGTTTTATGTCTAGATGTAAGAATTATATTTAAGCAAATTGTAGTGCGTGTTAAATTAGATATGTTGTATTTAGTCTATGGTGTAAAGATTCCCTTCAAAGCCAGTTTATGTTTACTAGGCGGAGTCGTTCAAGGCCGTAGTCGTAAATTGTAATGAACGCTAACGATTGACCGCGCCCACAACTGTTATTTCCACCGCTTAATTATATAGACTCTTCGTATACATGGTAATTTCCGATTGTTAAATTAATTTCTTTAAGTTAAATATGATAAGGAAGGGTATTGAAATCTTATATTCCATCGTATTTCGTTACACGGTCGCGTAACGATTTCCTATTTTCTGATTTACATAAAAGCATGACAAATTAATTCCTGTCAATGATGTAATATAACAAATATCACGTATTTTATTTGATATTCTTGGCAATTACATGCCCAGATTTGCTAAAACTAACTGGAAAACACGCGTTTTTTTTCACGTTAAGCATAAGACTAGATAATACAATTAACATTGTAGTGTGGTTGTAACATTCTTTCAAACTGATACGTAAGCATCATGTCTATGATAATTGGCATTCATAATGTTACAACAAAGACCCATTTGAACTTAATTGACCCGTCAAAAGACGATGCCAGATTGTCGTAGAAACCATAGTAAAGAGATCGCGTCGAAAGACTAGGTGACTTAATAGCCTGTAACCCTTTAGCGAGCATATAAAAAGCAAAGATTTATGTCTATAGTGAGTAAATTCTAACAGAGCAGCGATTCAAGCTAATGTACAAATGATTTTTTTTTAGTTTGATCCTTGAGGTTGTTCAAATGTACTTGTATTCAGTTTTAAAATTGCATTTGTCTTGATTGTATCAGATCTCTTTAAATTTAACAAAACAATGACCGTTACATGTTAACATTCATCCCATTATAGCTTTATTACGGCAGATCCGACCTAAAGATGCCAGATTTGCTTACACGTGAATCATAATTTAATACCTATCTAGCGGAACGTGCCAACAAAAATATCTCATTACCGCTAATCGAGAGGAAAAATTTACTGAAAAATACGATTGAAATAAAAAATAGAATACAATGAAAGAGGACACAACACATGACAATGGACGGATTATGTTTTATAGTCAAGCAAGTGTTTTAGTAAATATAGCTTGGGTGTTTATTATCGATTACTTATTGGCGTAACTTGATGTAAAAACTATAATTTTTCATCGAAATTACGGTCAAACAGGAACATTGTCTCCTTTCAGCTCTTGATTAAATTAGGATATGCAATCTTGTTTATAAGCGGTTGGTAATATTTCCACCTTTGCCTCCATAATTGGATCAAAAGGTGTAATAGTTACTCACGGTTTAAATATACGCTATTATTTTGATCCGTAATATTAGTCACAATGTCGGGAAGGCCTAAAAGTGTTTTGGGATGTTCACTAAAAACGTTACTAACAGGAAGATTTCGTTGTAAGCATTTCTTGTCTGTTCCCAGTAACGTTGGCTCTGTGCGGCTTCATTCACGAGGTCGACCCACTTTATGTATAAACACGTTTTGCTGTTTCAAACACTCCGTTTATATACGTCGGTATATCCAATATCTTATAGTTTATATAGTAAAGAATTCACGTGGTTTTATCTCGGCTTGATACTTATATGATTATCCAAAAGTATTCCTAGACTAGCTACCTTGACAAAAATATTTTTGTATTTATGTACATTCAGAGAGAAATATTTAAAATTTTAACAAACAGATCATATTTAAAAACATTAACTGCTAACATTTAAGTTATATTGCAATTTTAAAAATATAAAAAAATACATGATTACAAAATTTATATTGTCTCAAATATTAAAAAATCTAAAGTGTATGTGATAAAGTATTTGTAATTAATTTTAAATTCGGCTGATTTTATCTCAATGTCTATTCTAATAGTTGATAAGTTTTATTCGATGTTTATTCAATTACAAATTTTATGTGACAATGTAATATGTACTTCCTGGTTCCAACCATGTAGCTTCCAAGACAAATGTAAATGGAGGACATAGTTATATTCATAGCTAATCTATTACAGAATACATATGTAATCTAATTATTTCCAAGATCAAATGCTGTGCTAGCTTCTGTCAATTTTTTTATGTTTATGTCGATGTCTGTGTGTGAATAAATAATTGTTGTTGAATCATTGTTTGATTTTTTTATTTGTTTTAGTTATAACAATTGAAATAAAACAACATTGACACTTTACCATATTTAATGTACATGCTTTCTTCGTTTAAAACATTCAAAAACTAAGTAACATTACAAAATCACAAAGAGCTTTCCGTGTAAATAAAAGAGTAAAGTCTATAGGAGATGTAATTACATACAAAATAATAATAAAATCCTAAAATTACATGAATGTTTCTACAATACTATAAGTATGTCTACCTCAATAGACACAGATAAACAAGATTCAATAATAAAGACTAAAAACATCTATTTACATGACCATAAAGTTAAAAACGGATTTAAGTGAATTTACAACTAAAACTTATAAAAATAAAATAAAAAAAATCATAACTATATCACACAAAATTGTAGAACTGAGCTGCAAATAAGGCTCTCTGAAACTTCCATCATCCAATTCCTTTCTACGTTGTTCGTTGGTTTGTTTAAACAGTTTTAATATTTTCAAATTGTAAAAATAAAAAAATATTGAAAAATTCCCATTTAGTATTTTGAAAACGTTACTTTGTAAAGTATTATAAATGTGTTAAATGTACTACAGAGGTCCTTAAAAATGTGATAATTCGTAAAATTCCTTTGATGTCTATTATTTTGTTAACCGGACAAAGTATTACCGTTTTCAAAATTACCAAATAATAAAATCAATATAAAAATGTTCTTAGGTTCGTACACTGTTACGAATTTGAGATCAAATTGTACTTTAACATTCAATACAGCACAAATACGTACAATTAACGCTTTACCTAATATTCGAAAGGACCAACTAACATACATCTTCCTTAATACGTATAATTTCTCACATTCACATTTATCTGAAGATTTTGAAAACAATACACTAATGACAATATATTCCATAGAATTTTTTAAACTTTAACGAATCTTATTTTTACATTTTACTGTCGAACCTTACTTTGGCCCCAATATACGAATCGACTCGTCACAATGGGAACCATTCAAAACATTTCAATTTTCCCTCCAAACCTTCAGAGTTACCACTAAAAAATTTGCGGTAAAACCATAATCGTAATAAAATCGCCTATATTCAATATACAATGTATTTCCAGTAAATCTACGATATAATTAAAAATTAAGTCACAATAATTACATACATACAATGTTATTCTCTGCTATATTTAGTAATGATCATAAGAATTCTTAAAAATCTAAATGATTTTACAGTTTATAAATAATATTATCAGCACCGAAATATTCCAAATGAAATAAAAAAAAAACCAGCAATAAAGTATTATTAAAGTTTACGATTCAATAATAACAAAAAAATGTATGAGTGAAATGGAATATTTCGTGGCTGCCAGTTTCTCATAGTTAAATTGAGTATAGTACAAAAGTTTTAAAAATGTACTATTAACTATTATTGGCACATACACTGTTAGAAATGTAAGTTAATTGACTTACCATGTCGAAATATAAAAAATCTGTCCATCCTTATTAAAGCAGTATCGAAAATTAGCATTTATAAAATATAATATTTTTCGTCTTCCATTAAATCATTAAAACACGATGCTAAAGTTATTTCAAATCTTTTGAAAAAAAAAAACCTAATAAGCCAATCACATCAAGAGAAAATAAAAACCGGTATTTGAAATTTTTAAATTTTTTCTTATACAAACGTGAATTCTTATTATTAAATATAATAAAACAACATTTTATTTAAATTACCGATTACTTAATAATTTTGGTCATTAAAATCAGTCCTATTTCGATTCGAAAAATTTAGGATGGATAAAAATTTTAACCAATATAGTAGATAGAAAATAAACTTTATTTTAGTAAAAACAAGATTCGATTTACAAGTTAACAGAAAATATTTTATTTAACAATCAACAATGGAATGCTAAAAGCGAAAAAAAATAAATGCATTAAAATGTTCGTATATTCGCGTAAGCAAATAGGTCTTTGATATTGAGTAATACTTCGTGTATAATAAGAAATATAACGAAATAATTTAATAAAACTACTTTTACAGTATTTTAATAATCTGTGGGAAAATATTTGTCAAATATTATCTATATTACACAATAGATAAAGTTATTGTTAATGTCCACTTTCAATAACTAGATACCGACACGAGATAAATAGATAAATTTTGCAGGATAGTGACAAGATAAAGAATATAAACAAAAATTTCATGGATCCGTAGTGTTTGTTCATGATTTGTAATACAAAATCTAAATAAACGTTGATAATTCACAAGGATTTTTTTTATAATTCTGCGAAATTTAAGAAATAAGTTGATTTTTATACTGTATCTCATTTCGAGCATAAATAATCGTATCTAAAAAATGTTGCTATTAGCAAAAATTTGTGTTTTTTTTTATTAATAGATGATTATAAAAAAGTGATGTTTTACCTCGCAAAATGCGCGGCATGATACGAATCTTTACGCACAATTACAACGAAAATTGTACATGACATAATTTAACCTTCCAACATTATCTGTTCATATGAAGGCTAATCATATAAAAGTACGAATAAGTTTGTATTTGTCTTATTCAAACTTGGTGATTCAAAAAACAACATTCAAATACAATCCTTACACTAAACACTTACAAATCATGTTCTTACACAAAGACATTTTACACATAAATTTTAATAGTGAAAGGATCAGCCACAATGCCATACACAAACACATATAAAATCTCAAAAGTGGCACATCACGAAGGACCAACTTAATTTCACTAAAATGTACTCAATATTAAGTCATAAAATTGCTCGATAGTTATAGTGTTCTATCCTAAATGATTCGAGTACGTAGCTCCGTTTTTTAGAGGTCTCGTGAATATAACATCTTCATCGTCCGCGTGTATACCGTCCGAGGTGAGCGCTATCGTGTCGCCGTGCACCACGTGCGGCGACTCATCGAACTCCTCCAGCTCTTCCACATTCGCTGGATGGAGGTTAAAAGTAAAACAATCTGAATACCCACTACAAACTATCATCACAATAATAAGATAGAAACAGAGCAGGAAAACAAAAAATATAATTGTTTTGCCTTTAAAGGTGAAGGCAGACTAAAAAAGGGGATTCCCTGTCACGTTACGTGGTATGATCGGAAAAGTTTAGATACCTATGGCTAAAATTGTTTTCTCTCAATGAACAAAACAGGTTAATAATAGTTTGTCTTACTTTTTTGGTATTTTTAAAGTAGGGCCCTTAGTTACGACCATATCAGGGTCTAATTTTGTATGGACCAATTTAATGGAAATAAGAAATTACATTTACACATTTCACCAACTGATAATGTTATTTATTGCGTATAGATTTTTTTTGGAAAGTTTTAACGTGTATATTGATACAAACACGACTTTTTTTTAATAAAACTGTTTTACTAAAATGAAAGATGTCGTTATAATACTACGCAATGTTCAGTACTACTTTTCTTGATACATATGGTCAAATTGACCATACCTTTTTTAAAGTCTCCTGCCAATATTTTATTTGATTAGGATTACTTTTAAAAAGAAAATAAATATGTCGTTTTAATTTACCTGTAAAATCTGAAGAAGTTAATAGTAAGTACTGTTCGGAGCGCGTTGGCCACAGAAGGTGCGCCATCACGCAGTACGCCAGGCAGTCGGCTGAGTATGTTATCCCTGGAAATAAATAATAATTCGTAATTAAATAAACAGTAAAACGTAGTTAGGTATTACTATTCAAATGAATTAAAAACGAAAATAAACAGCAAAATAAAGAATTTCACATTACTTCTAAATTAATTTTAACAAAACACAAATTCAACAAAAAGGGTACTCAGAAAATGTCCAAAAAAAAAAATACTAAGCAATTCCTTATAAAGACTTTTACAAGACTACCCTCACCATTCCTTCCGTTTACTAACATTTCCTAACAATACTTTGCTTGGACACTTAAATTTAATATCTTTAACTCACCTAATAAGAATTTAAACCTCCATAGAGGGCTGATTTGCAGCGCTATCAGGGCAATGATCGGTAGATACACGAACCAGACGAGACTGGACGCTCCGAAATGCAGCAGGAAATTGAGCTTCGTGATGTTGTGCTCGTATATCATAGTGTTACGAAGTTCTAGAATGAACCACACCATGATGGCGACCCTTAGAGTGAGGACCAGCCATCCCGGCCATGTCTGGTATTCATCTATCTCTTCTATTATATCTACTTCTGTCTGGAAATAAGAAAAATATATCATAAATACCTTGGAAAGCCAAAACAAATATGAGTTATAAATGGTAAAGAAGCATTAAATTCATGCTTGATTTACATAAAATACTTGTTATGGTAATCAGTATAAATGGAGGCATTACTTAAAACTATCATTGTTTTAATCGAAACCATAAAATATACAATATGATATTTCTAAATACTTACTGTATTCCATACATAAAGCAGTATATTAACTATCCCATACGCCAGCCATACACCAAACACAAGAGGTTTGTATGTCAATTCTAATCTAGTGACAGCCCAGCCTTTTGCCAACAGGAGTAGTAACAACATGAATAATGTCTGAAAAAAATTAAAAGAATATAACATTTTATAATCTATGCTATTGCAAAGAGTATGAAAATACCACATTGTTGAGTATGAAAATACACACCTTTGAAAGGAAAATTCCTATACAGAAATCATAAATTACAAACAAAGCTCACTTGCTATTTATACAGATGTTTATAGTCTTAAATATATGTTGCATAACACTACTTTTATTGTAAAAAAAATCCAGTTTTGTTATGTTACCTTTTCTGTTAATCTTACTAATATTATAAAAAGTTTAGATGAATGGATGGATGTTTGTTAGAGCTTGTAGCCAAAACGGCTGAAGGGATCTTGACGAAATTTGGCTTATATGTAGAGGATAGTTTGGAAGAACACATAGGCTACTTGCTTTTTTTTTTATTCCGCGCAGACGGAGTAGCGGGCGAAAGCTAATAATTGATTTTAAAAAATTACACACTATATAAAAAAAATGTTTTCTTGCAATGGTACTTTACTAAACTAGGGCAAGGCCAATATCTAAATAGTAACTCTTACTTCATTCCCCAATTTCTCATTTGAAGGTCAAATTGTCAATGGGCAAGTTAGTCCAGTGCAGTCTCACAAATTATTATAAATCAGAATAACGAGAGATAATCTACACAATACTTACTCTGCTCATAATATCAATAATATCACCAGCTACAGCAAGACCCTCAAAGCCAATGCCATCAATTGCAAACTTTGCTGTGTGTAGCACATTGAAACAAAGTGCAATAAACTCCAATAAAAGGCTGCATGTGAACAATTTTGTTACTGGATGTCTCTGGGTTCTACAAATAAAACATCTAATTACCC